CCCCATCTGAGGCGATTGTGAGGGCTTTCCGGAGGTCATTACCGGCGCCATCGACCGTGATATGTCTCGTCCCGCAGACCTCATGCATCAGATGCATGCATGCGGTCATAATATGTAGCCCTTCTCTCCCGCAGTTTTGAGCAATAGCCGCAAAAGGTGCTTCGTGGCACTTGCTTGGGGCACAGGTCGGAGGCGGAGAGTCCAGCTTCTAAGTTAACCCCTTGGCTTTTCTGGTGGTTTTCTTGGCCCGGGCCATTAGATAGCAAGCGGGTGGGTTCCGAACCCCCCTTTTTTTTGGGTTTCCAAGTCCCGCCCGGTTGGGGTTCCCCCGGGAGGGGTCGAGATTGTCTCCGGTGGACCCCGTCCGAGGCGACTGCGAGGGCATTACGGCGGTCAATACCGGCGCCATCGACCGTGATATGTCCCGACCCATAGCCCTCATGCACCAGGCGCATGCATGCAGTCATAATATGTAGGCCTTCTCTCCCACAGTTTTGAGCAATAGCCGCAAAAGGCGCTTCGTAGCACTTGCATCGCGACCAGGTCACACGCGGACGCTCCAGCCTCTCAGCTCACACCTCGCCTTCTCTGTCGCTCTCTTGGCCCAGGTCCATCAGCAGCAGGCCGGAGGTGTCTGAAACCGCACTTATGTTGGGTCTCCAAGCTCACGCCGGCTCGTGATGCCACGGAGAGGGCTCGAGATTGTCTCCGGTGGGCCCCATCCGAGGCGATTGCGAGGGCATTCTGGCGGCCATTACCGGTGCCAACGACCGTGATATGTCTCGTCCCGCAGACCTCATGCATCACATGCAGGCATGCAGTCATAATATGTAGGCCTTCTCTCCCACAGTTTTGAGCAATAGCCGCAAAAGGTGCTTCTTGGCACTTCATCGCGACACGTCCAGGTGCCGACGAGGCGGCTTCCCAGCTCACCACCTCGTCTTCTCTGTCGCTCTACTGGCCCAGGCCTATCAGTAGCAAGTCTGAGCTATCCTTAACCGCACTTATCTTGGGTGATGAAGCCCACTCTGGCTCATACCACGGCTCTCCGGCCTCATACACGCCTGTTTCACCCACAGACACCGCCGGCACGCACTCCCACTTCACACATGCTCAAGCACAGCCCCACCAAAGCACAGCCCTGCTCAGAGTGGCCATGGACCACCACTTGACGACCCTGGTAGCCTCTGGCTCGCCACTGCACTCGGCTCATTTGCAGCCGTCTCGGGCCCGCCCCCAGCAGCACGCCGTCTGTGAGATCCAGCAGCGGCCTGGACCTGTTGAGGCCGCAGCCGATGCACTCATGCAGCTTGATGCAGGCCTCAACTCAGATGCCGACCAGCTCGGTTGTGGCGGCCGACGAGCGGTGCTAGCTGGCGCCTCTCGACGGGGTCGGTGTGGCGCGTTCGAAATGCAGCCGCGCCGCGTTGACGTCGGCGAATCTCATCCCGCTCTGGGTGCTAGGGCCAACGGCCGCGAGGCCTCTAGCCCGCCCGGCGGGTAAAGGAGGAGTGTTGGCGTCTAGTTTGACGGCCGTGAGTTTCTGCGGGTGCCTCACTCTGAGCAGGCCGCAAAATCCTTCGGTTTGCAGAAGAATCCTTTAAAATCCCTGTGTGGTGCCGTCCTCCCATCCCTCCCTTGGGTTGTCTGTCTTCGTTCTTTCTTTCTTTTTCGGGGCGGGGCGGGGTGCGCACTGTCCCTTCCCTGGAGATGATTGCTCTATTATTATTATTCGGGCGCACGGGTTTGCCTCTCTTCTTTGCGCCGCTCGCTCGCGGCGCCGGGAGACATGGCCGCGGATGCGGCTGCCGGCTCGCACTCGCTCGGCGGGCCTCTCCAATGCCTAGGCTGGCCGGTTTTTTTCGCGGTATCCGCGGCGGGATATGGCGGGATATGGCGGGATATGGCGGGATACCGGGAGATACACGCGGATATGCTGAGATACCACCACGCCGCCACGCTCGCAAGGGCCGCCTAAGCGCCTAAGCACCCTAAGCACCCCCCGCTTAGGCCGCTTAGGCGCTTAGGCGAGTGACGGCCGGGCTGCTCGGCGTGAGGCGGGCAGGATACGGCAGGATATGGCGGGATATGGCGGGATATGGCGGGATATGGCGGGATATGGTCAGATATGGAGAGATACATCAAGATACCGCAAAAAAACCGGCCAGACTAGGCCTTCTCCAAGTCGCAAGTGCTCCAAGTGCGCGGGGCCAATCGCACTCCAAGTTGCGGTCCAAGTGCTCCCAAGCCGTTCTCGAGAAGCCGTTTGTGCCGCGTCCCGTGCCCCTGAGTTCATTTTAAACACCCAAAGCCTCAAAACAAGTGTCACGCCGGCGCCCATGTAGAGCCCCACCTTGCACGTCTCGCCCGTCTCCCGCAGCTACACGCCCGTCACATGCAGCCGGCCGTCGCGCGAGGCGTGTAGTGGAGGCCAGCGAGCTGAACGCGCTTTCGCGGCCGCCGACTGCGCATTCATGCCCCCTCCTCACTGCCCTAGACCCCACGCCTCGATCTTCTTGGGCAGCAGCTGGTTCGACAGGTCGTCGCCGTGGCCTAGGCAGCCGCGCACGCCCTTTCCCCAGGCGAAGACGGCGTCATCGGCGGTGAGGGCGAGGCTGTGCCTTGGTCCAGCCGACACAGCGACGACACACCGGCCAGCCAAGGCCTCGACCTTCTTGGGCAGCAGCTGGTTCTGATCGTCGCCGTGGCCCAACCGGCCAAAGACTCCATTGCCCCAGCTCCAGACGGCACCGTCGGCGGTGATGGCGAGGCTGTGCTGGGATCCAGCCACCACAGCGGCGACGTGCCGCCCAGCAAAGGCCTCGATCTTCTTGGGCAGCAGCTGGCGCTGCTCGTCGCCGTGGCCCAGCCGGCCATCTCCCCCGCAGCCCCAGCTCCAGGCGGCTCCGTCGGCGGTGATTGCGAAGCTGTGCGAGAGTCCTGCCGAAACAGCGACGACGCGCTGATCAGCAAAGGCCTCGACCTTCTTGGGCAGCAGCTGGTTCTGCTGATCGCCGTGGCCCAGCTTGCCAAAGCCTCCATGGCCCCAGCTCCAGACAGCGCCGTCGGCGGTGATTGCGAGACTGTGAGCATCTCCAGCCGACACGGCGACGACGCGCTGGCCAGCGAAGGCCTCGACCTTCTTCGGCAGCAGCTGGTTCTGCTCGTCGCCGTGGCCCAGCTTGCCAAAGCCTCCATGGCCCCAGCTCCAGACACTGCCGTCGGCGGCGAGGGCGAGGCTGTGCCCGCCTGCAGCCGACACAGCGACGATACGCTGGCCGGCAAAGGCCTCGATCTTCTTGGGCAGCAGCTGGTCCTGCTTGTCACCGTGGCCCAACTTGCCAAAGCCTCCCCAGCCCCAGCTCCAGACGGCCCCGTTGGCGGTGATGGCGAGGCTGTGCTCAACTCCAGCCGACACGCTCACGACGCGCTCACCCAGCGTCGACGGGATGCGGGTCGGCGTGTTCAGCCGCGTCACACCCTCGCCGTGGCCGAGCAGTCCCGGCAGCCTCAGCCGTGCCGCACGACGAGAGCCGCCCCTCGCCGTCGATGAAGAGGCTGTGCCGACGGCCTGCCGCAAGCCTCACCGGCGGGTTGATCTCGCGCAGCAGCGCGGCGAAGCACAGCCACTGCACGGCGCAGCTCTCGCCCTCTGGCTGCGCCGGCAGCTCGAAGCCGCGCTCTTGCGCCCACAAGCGGATGCCCTCCGCCGCGAGCGAGGCGTGGAAGAGGAGAGAGACGGCCGCGACGCGAGCGATGTCGAGGGGTTCGCAGCGAGAGAGGGCGCGCGCGAGGAGCTCCGTGGGGAGGTCGAGGAGGCGGGTGGGCGGCGGCGTGTCTGGCGAGGGCGCGGCGGTGGAGGCGGCGGCGAGGCGGCGCGAGCGGCGGCGCGGCGATTTGGACATGCGAGGAAAAGAAATTCCCGCGCGCTTACCGACTGCACTCGTGCCGAACAATTCTTCAAACAGCGCCTGACGCATGGCGTTCAGGTGTGCGACTACGCGCTCGTCTACGCGGAGAAGAAGAACGACGGCGAAGCGCCGTACTCGGTCTCCTTCACCGCGACGCAGAGCGGCGACGTCATCGTACAGCTGCACCCGCACTCGCAGCTCGAGCGCGCTGTGCGCCAGGAGCGGCAGGCGCAGGCCACGGAGCCGCCGCCGCCGCCCAGCGGCGGCGGAGTGCGCGGCTGCTCCTTCACTGTCCCTAACCCGGGCAGGAAGCGTGGGCAGCAGCAGCGCGGCAAGGGCCGCGGTGCCAGGGGCCGTGCCGATGCTGGACCCCGTCTCGTTGACAAGAACGCGCTGTCCGCGCGCGGCAGCGGGCCCTCGCGCCAGTCGCGCTCGCCGTCGCCCGACTCTCCGCCCGCCAAGCGGGCCGCCTCCGCTGACTCGTCCGGCTATGAAACCGATACGCCGGACGAAGTGCAGGGCCTCTTATCGCTCGGGGAACCCCATATCGGCGGTCCGCAGGGTATGCGGCGCGCTCGGCATGAGGGAGCAGTTTGAGGCGGCGATGGCGGCGGGCGAGCTTCTCGAGCTGCTCGAGAGCTTGCCGCGAGGGGCGGTCGAGGCCTCTGTCCGACAGATGCGGGGTTACAACCGCACGGGCGAGTGGCCAGAGCCCATTCTCACCAGCCCTGCCCCGCAGCGCGGCCGCTCGCCAAGCCCCGTCGATGAGTGGTCAGATGGTTAGTGCCCGAGAGCGAGGGGTCCGGGGGGGAGCACAAACATAGGACGCCCAGCCTTGCCCTCGTGCCGCCGAGTGCATATCCTATGCGAGAGAGATCCCCTGTGCCCTGTGCCCAGCCCTCTCCGCGCGGCGATGCGCCCTCCCCCCTCGCTTTTGCAAAATCCTGCAAAGGTGGGGACGTGTCTGTCCTCGACCCAGCCCTAGCTTGGGATGTCCGTTGTATTTATTTATTTATTCGTGCCGTCCTCCCATCCCTCCCTTCGGAACAAACCCTTGAGTTGTCTGTTTTTTTCTTTCTTTCTTTTCCAAGTGCTCCAAGTATGCAGGATCCTGCGTCCACCCATGTCCAGGTGCAACAAGCCAACGGGTTTCGCTTAGGCTTGCGGCGCTGGTCCTGGTCTGTCTCCTTATACCTACTCCTCTAGTCCTCCACCTCACACAACGAGTGCCGTAGAATATCATAGTGCGGCCTCTCGGTGGCTCCTGCCCTGCCCTCGATGGCTCGGACCACTTCTTTCTCGACTCACTCAGTCCACGACTTGATCCACCGCATCACGGTCTCGTGCCAGACGACGCTGTTTTGCGGGTTCAGGCAGTGGTGGTTCTCGCCGGGGAGATACAGCATCTCGCTCGGCACGCCGCGCCGCTGCAGCGCCGTAAAAGTGGCGATGCCCTCCGACTCCACGAGCAAGGCGTGCTGGCTGAGTTCAAGGAGGAGTTGACGCAGCTTGCCGTCACGCTCGCAAAGAAGTGAGTTGAACCCTTGCTGCGGGCTGCGGCCTGCGGCTGGGGCAGACGAGCCAAAGAAATTTTCGTTTTTTTTTTTTTTGAGAGCGCCTTCGTTGTTAATAGTACAAACCCAATGGTCCTCTGCGAGCGGTCCTCCGTTGCAGCCGCACACACGCACACGCCACGCCGCACCGCGCGCCCGCCCACCGCCCCGCCCAGGCGGGAAAGAGATGAGGAGATGGGACAGCGAAGGAGGAAGCACAAGCACGTATGGGAGGGTTCAGTAATGCGCCACGCTGCCCGGCGTTTCTCACTTTCCGGGACAGCCCCGCCCTTGTGAGGCAGGAAAGTGACGGCTACCCCGTACGCCCTGCAGCCTGCTACTCCGACGCCGACCGCCCATCCTCCCCTCCTCGCTCCCCCCTCGAATGCTCCGGACCCCGACAAGCCGCCCGACGTTGGGCCTCTGCCCCGCACGCTCCCGCCCCGCTGCCCCTCACACACACCCAGGCCCGACATGCACATACAAGACAAACCCGGCGTCCTGCTCTCAAAAGAAAAGAAAAAATTTTTGGGGGCGCGCCGCCAGGCGCGTCCCCACTTTTGTATCACAGCTGCGAGGGCCAACCAAGGGATTCGGCGCGTCAAGTTAACTTGACCGCTCGTTCGGGCTTTGGGCCGCAGGCCGGCGCGCAGCGCCACGCCGCCAGGCGTCCGCCGGAGGCCCGCCGGAGGCTCTTCCTGCGGCCACATTCTGGCAAGATTCCGCCGCGCTCAGGCGCCCAGAGGATGCGTGCGCTGCGCTCAAACGTCGCGATTTGGCAATAGGCGCTCGAGCCGGCGCACAGCGGACGGGTGCGCCGCGCAGGGGGGGTCGGAGGGGTGCGAGAGGGGGCGTGGGTCGGGCGCGCACCGGCCGGCTCCGGGAGCGGCCATCACGTCGAGGAGGGGGGCTGTCGGCGGCTCGAGCGGCGAGGCGTGCCACTCTGCTTCGCCGCCGACAGCCCCTCTTCCGAGCCGGCGCGTGGCGACGAGCCGCGGCCAGTGTCGCTGGTTCCTTTGGCGGCGCAGCGTTTATCCCCCCCACCCGCGCCCGCCCGCCCGCCCGCCCGCCCGCCCTCAGGCCTTGCCCCTTCGCAGGCGCGGGAGCGCTCGCCGGCGAGCACCTCCTACCTCTCCTCGCCCGGCTGCTCCCTTGCCCCGTCGCCCGCCGCGCCCTCGCCCGGCCGCCTCACCGCGCACGGAGCGCTCGGATGCTCGCCGCCGCCGCCGCGCGTCCCCGCGCCGCCACGCTTGCCCCCACCTTGCCTCACGCGCGCTCTGTGGAGGGGCAGAGCGCGTGTCTCTGGCACAGACGGAGCAGCGACCGCTGCAGCGGTCGCTGCTCCGCCCCTCCGTCGCGCGCGCGTCGCTGCTCCGCCCCTCCGCCCTCGCCCCGCCCACCCAGTCCGCAGTCGCCCCGCGTCTCAACCAACACCCTTCCCGCGGCCACGCAGGGCCGTGTGGTGTGTGTGACACTCTGTGAGTGAGGGGGACGGCGTGCGCGTGGCAAATAAATGAATAAAAACGGAGACCTCGTGAGGCGTGGCGCCGCACACACACAAGAGTGGCTCGCAGCCCTCCCTCCCGTCCTCACCTCCGGTGCACCACTGCACACCTCTCAGCGCACACCTTCGGGACTCACTCCACAGCCATGCGCGAGGAGGAGGGACCTCCTGCCGCGCCTCCCTCCGGCTCTGCCGGCCGCGCGCGGCAGTTTGGGTTGCCATGCTGGCCGGGCACGCGGCCTGCCGCCGCGGCCGCGGCGTGCCGCTGCTCCTTGCGCCGCTCGACATCGGCCTTTGCCTTGGCTTTCTTCCGGAGGGCCGCCTCGTCTGCGCCTTCCTCGCCTGCGCCCTCCTCCCCGTCCTCGCCCTCCTCCTCCTGCTGCTGCTCCTCCGCCCACGGCGGCGGCGCGGAGTGCGCGGGCGCCGCGGGCGGCGCCGCGTGCCACGGCCAGTCCGGCGGGTACGCGTCCTCGTCCTTGAGCATGACGGTGAAGACCTCGCCGGGCTGCTTGCCCGGCGGAATGGTGACCTCGATCCGGTCCCCGCTGGGCGGCCGGACAAAGATGGTGTGCGCCGAGGAGGCGGTCTTCTCCGGCATCGCAAAGGTGTGAAACGACCACTCCGGCTTCTTGATGACGAGCTGGACGTGCTCCATCTGCAGCGAGAGGCGGCCGATGGACCGCTCGAGGCGCCCGAGGTCGGCGGCGAGGCCGCCACCGCGGAGATCGCGAACTTTCGTCTCGAGCTCGTTGATCTTGAGCTGCTTCCAGTCGAGCTTTTGCTGCAGGTTCCGATTCTCAAGCTGCAGAGCCTGCAGGTCGCTGGAGGCTGCCATGCTGGTCGCTAAACCACCAGTATCACGGCCAAAAAAGGTTTGGGTGAAAAAGAATTCTCAAACTCCCGGCGTGACTCGGCGAAAGCAGCAGGCGAGCGCAGGGTCATTGTGTCTGGGCAAGATTTGCTTCATGTCACAGTCGAGCGGGCCGCACGCCTGCGGCGGAGGTGGCGGCGGAGGCTCGCCGCACCGACGCACTGCGCTCTCGGACGTCGGCAACACTCCTCCGCGCCCGCTCGGCGTTGGAGGCCGGCCCGGTGGCTCTCCCGTCTTGGAGCGCTGCCGTCAGCAATTCGCCGACGGTGGTGGCGCGGATGCGGTGGTGCCGCTGCCGCCGGGCGGAGTCGCTACCGTTTTCCCTCCGCCACCGGCCTTCCTCCTGCCGGACGACGTTGTCCTCACGGGGCCCGTGTTCGAGTCGGAGGGGCTTCCGCCCGACCCCACCCGCGCCGGCCGCATCCGAATGGTGCGTGAGGAGGTGGAGGGGGCGCGGCGACGCGCCGAGCGCAAGGCGGCGGCCGAGGCGGCGAAGGCTGCCCGCGGGCGAGCAGCAGCAGCAGCAGCACGATTCTTGACACATGATTACACTACACAGTCCTCCCTTCGGTTGTCGTTTCGAAGCTGTTTTTTTCTTCTATCGCAGCGCACTCGCATCTGTGAGCCTAGCGCAGCGCGAACTCGCCGTCTGGGCCTAGCGCAGCGCGAACTCGCCGTCTGAGCCTAGCGCAGCGCGAACTCGCTCTGAGCCTAGCGCAGCGCCTCGGAAAACACCATTTTGGCTCGCCAACAAGCCCTCCGCGCCCCCACACCGTTAGGATAATACTTTTTTTTTCCTGCACCCCTCTCATTCGATGGCGGAACCATTCGATGCCGGCAAGTGGTCATCGCTCTGCCCCTGCTCTTTACGCTCTCCGGGCCGCTCCTGATTCACACGATGTCCCGCCAGCAGCAGCTCCTCCGCGCGCCACTCCTCGACAGCGATGCTGTCGTGGTGCCGGGCTCACGTCAGAGTGCACTTGCGACCGGCTCTTGCTGGACGATCAGCCACAAGGGCGCCGCATACGCTGCGTGGCGCTATGTGGCGCTGCTCGGCACGGTGGCGACGCTCATGGCCGTGCCGCTGCAACTCGCCTTCTTTGACGGGTCGCCGCCGCTCGCCGCCGCCAGCCACGCTGCCGACCTCTTCTTCTCGTTGGACGTGCTCGTATCGCTCGTCCTGACGTACGAGCGAGCCACTACTGGCGAGGTCGTGTCGCAGCCTAGTGCGGTTGCGCGGCGCTATTGCCGGAAGTGGCTGCTTCTCGACATGCTGGCGGCAGTGCCGGTCGACTCGCTGACTTCGATCAGATTGCTGGCCTACCTGCGTTTCCTCCGCGCACGCCGCCTCTCTGCGCTCTTCTGGCAGCTCGAGCTCGACGAGCGGCTCTCGTACGGAGGCCTCCTCGCGATCAAGTTCACGCTCCTGCTGCTGCTCGACGCGCACGTCGGCGGCTGCACGATCTGGTACCTCGCCGCGCCGGGCGAGGAGATGTTTGAGCACGGCCTCGGCGACGCGCAGGGCTGGGGCCAGCAGTGGGTGCTCGCGATATACTGGGCGGTCGCGACCCTCTGCACCGTCGGGGGCGTAATTAATAATTAATAGTCAATTAATAGTTAATTAGGCGGTCACGACCCTCTGCACCGTCGGGTACGGAGACTACTCGCCAGAGACCACGGGCGAGCGTCTGTTTGCCACGGCCTACATGCTCGCCAACCTCGCACTCACCGCGTGGATCATCGGCACCGTCGCCATGCTCGCGACGCGGGGCGACGGGGAGCGGGCCGCGTACCGGCGCGACCTGCTGATGCTAGGCAGGTACGTGCGCAGCACGGGCCTGCCCCCGCCGCTGCGCCGCAGCATGAAGGCGTACCTGTGGCTGCAGCACGTCTCTGGCACCGTCGACGCCTCCGCCTTCGAGCGCAAGCTCCCCTCCTTCCTCACGAAGAAGGCGCGGAACACGAGGCACCTCCCGCTGCTCTCGCGCGTCCCCCTGCTGGCCGCGGCGGGCGAGGGCGACGACGCGCGCTTCGTCGCGGCGCTGGCTGCTCGCGCGGAGGAGCTGATGCTCATGAGCGGCTTGCGCGTCTTCGAGCCGGGCGACCTGGCGCAGGACCTCTGGGTGGTTGTGGACGGCGGAGCGGAGGTGGTGGTGGAGGGCGTGGCTGTGCACGTCTGCGGCGCCGGATCCGTGCTCGGAGCAGAGTCTGGCCCGTGTCAGGAACAGAGGTGACGCCGAGAGGCCTTCTAGCTGTACCAGTCCCGCTGCTACACCATAGGTCCTTCTTCTCGGGCCTCGCGATGCCGTGGGAGATTGCGATCACCAGCCTCACGCGCGCGCTCAAGCTGACCGACGCCGACCGCGACGCCCTCCTCGAGGCCTTCCCGGCGCAGGGCCGCCGCATCCTCGCGCGCCTCATCTCGCGCGCCGAGGCGTGGGGGCAGAGCGCCGCGGAGCAGGCCGCCACGCCCCCTCCGCCGTCGCCTCCGCGGCGGCGGCGCTGGTCGAGCGGGCGGAGCCGCTCCGGCTCCGACGCGGCGGTGGAGCGCGCCGCCGCAGAGAGCGCCGCCGTCTCTGCATTCGGCGAGCGGTGCGGCGCCCTGGCGGCGGCGCTGCGCGGCCAAAAGGCCAAGCACGAGCGAGCGCTGTCGACGACTCTTTGCGACCTCGCCGCAAAGAATCTGCTGCTGCCGGTGCAGCGGCTCCTGCTGACGGTCGACGCGTCGTCGGTGCCGCCCGACTACGACGGCAGGTGCCGCCGTATCATTTTGCGCACCACCCGTCCGCACGCGCCCCCTTTTTGAGTGAGCGGCGGTCCTAACCGCACCCCTGCACGAACGGCAGGACCGCGATGCACCTCGCCGCAGCGCAGGGGCACGTGGACATGGTGGAGCTGCTCGCCGGCGAGGGGTGCGACGTCTCGCCGGTCGATAGGTTCGGGCGGACCCCGCTCCACGAGGCTGCGATCAACCGGCACGGAGGCTGCGTCGAGGCGCTGAAGCGCTTGGGCGCGACGCTGCGCCTGCCGGAGCACGAGGAGGCGTCGCTGCTTTGCAACGCGGCTGCAACGTCTGACGCCGGCCTGCTGGCCTCCCTCCTCGCCGCCGGCGCCCTCCCCTCCGCGTGCGATTACGACGGCCGTACGGCGCTTCACATCGCTGCGTGCGCTGGCTCGCCGGTGCTGGCAGGCACACTTTTGAGGTCGTTGCGCCGCCCGATTGGCTCGCTCAAGGATCGGTGGGGGCACACGCCCGAGGACGAGGCGAGGCGGCGAGGGTTTAAAACCGTGTTGGAGGTGCTGAGAGGGACACGCGCCGATGGTAAAGTAGCAAGGTAAATAAAAGGGGCGACAGCCGAAAAAGTTATAAAAAACGCCGCGCAGCTAGTAGGACTTTTCCAGGCGGTGGAGCCGCACGGGTAAGGTAAGGTAAGGTAAGGTAAACTTCTCCACACACACGAGGTGGTGGGGCAAGGGGGGGCAACCCTCGCGTCTCCACGTCTGACGACAGGAGCCCCACGGCATTCAAAGTGCAAGGCCCAGTGCGCGTGGGTGAGCGGTGTGTGTGTGTGTGTGTGTGTGTGTGTGTGTGTGTGTGTGTGTGTGTGTGTGTGTGTGTGTGTGTGTGTGTGTGTGTGTCACGTCACTGCATCCTCCGCCGGTTCCTCCCGTCGCCTCTTCTTTGTTCGAATGTTTTTCAATCCATCCTTCACGAAGCCCTCCCATGTAGCTAGCGTTCTTGGCGAATGTCTCGAAATGGCCAGCAGGCGCTGTCTGCTCGCGGTCTGTGCGGGCCGCTCGTCCTCCTCGCCCTTCTTTCGTCCTCCCGTCCCTCCCCTCCACCATGGCCTTCTCGGCACTTCTTTCTCCATCCGCCTCGCCCTGCCTTTTCGTATCGTGCCGTTCGCCCTCCATTCGGTGACCTCCATGGCTGTCCGGCTCCTTTTGGGTGGCGCTCTCGATACCGTTGCGTCAACCTCGACGTCGCTGTCGCCCTCCCCGTCCCCGCCGTCGTCCGTGCCTCGGTTCGCGTCATCGGTAGCGTCTCCGTTGTTCCCTCGTGCCCCGCCGTCGCCCTCTCTGCTCGGGCCGTTAGCGATTTCGCCCCTCCTGCGTGTCGCCCCTCCGTCCCCTCCCCTTTCTTCGTCATCATCGTCGCTGTCGCGAAAGCCCTCCGGTCCCTCGATTCCCTCGCCTATCCCCTCCGCTGCGTCGTCCCAGTTTATATCCTCATCCTCTGCGCACGTCGCGTTGGCTTCCTCTCTCCCCCTTTCCTCCCTGCCCCTCTCGCTGTCTGGTGTTAATGGACCCCCTTCCTCTCCCTCGCCACCGTCACCATCCCCGTCGCTACCGCCCTCCATGCCCGCCGCCCTTTGTTTCACACTCGTCTCTGCCATGTCCGCCGTCGCCGCCGTCCTGTCTGCTGCGCTCTGTGCTCCGTGGTACAGTCGCTTATTGTTGCTCAGGATTAGCTCACGCACCAGGACAGCCTCCTGCTCGTTATTTTGGCTTGCCGGTATGCATCCAAAGTTCCACGCTAGCTCCTCCTTCGTCACGTCTATCTTTTTGCAGTATCTCGCGAATGCCGTCCGCGCTTGCTGGGGTGTTATTGCGTTCGGATCCGCCCTGGTCCCCGCCCTGTATCCCATCTCCTTGCGGTGGCTCCTGTATGAGTCCCCATATGACCATGTGATTTCTTGGCCTTCCTTGACTCCCCTCTCTGCAAACAGGACCATCACCTGCGCAGCTGCCTTGCCTAATTGTATCTCCTCGTAGCGTACGAAGTGCGTCGCCCTCGTGCCTCGTTTCGGCTCATTCGATGCTGCAGGCCAATCGAAGTTACAGCGCGCCGCGACGCTGTCAAAGTCGTCCTCGCTCTCGTCGTCACTTCCATCCAGCTGCGTCCCCCCTGCTGCCGTGTGTCGTGACAGTTCGGCTGGTACTGTCTCTGGTGGCTGCGCCGTTCCTGTCCGGAAGATCTCCCCAGTGTAGATGCTACACACCTCGAATTTCTCTAGCCTCCTCGTCGCCAGTAGGCCGAGTTCCCCTTCCGCTATGCCAGAGGGGCCTACCTTCGCCCCTTCCACCGTGCCGCCCGTCGTTAGCATGGCCGTCGTTACTTTCGCCGCTGCCTCTGCTGCTTGTCGGCGGAGCGCCTCGCGCCTTCCCTCGTCTCCATGCTCCTGGTCTTGTTCTTTTTGTTTTCCTGCGCTTCCTGTCGCTGGTCCGGCGACGTATCTTGCCGTCTGCCTTCGCTTCCTGGCGGGCCGCGTTTCCTTCCCCTCGTCCCGTCTGTTTTCTCCTGCGTGGTCGCCCTCGCGTGCGCCGCTCGCCGTCTGTTCTCCTCTCTGCTTGCCGTCCTCGTCCCCTCGCTGTCGTCGCTTCCCTCCGGCGCTCGCCGCATCGTCGTTCCTATCACCGCGTTTCCTGCGCTGGCCTTCGCCTTCGAGCTCGCAGTGGGTCGTTTTGAGTGTCATCCCCATCGCTCTCGTCGTTCTGCCTCTCCCCGCTTCGAGGCGTCTCTCTGCCTCTTCCCTTTCCTTCTCCTCAGCATCACGTTGTCGACGTCGCCTCCGTCGCCAGCAAATACACGCATTCGCCGCCCACTCCATTTCTCGTATCCTCTCCTTCCTTTCCTTCTGTCCCTCTCTCAGGCGTTCTGTTTCCGCGGCTACTCGTTCCTTCCTCTCCGCCTCGAGTCCCTTCCTCTTCTCTTCCCGTACTTTGATTATTGATGCCGCCGTCTGCTGCAATGCCTTGAGTGAAGTCACCACCCGTGTGTCATACTCCCTCATGATGTCTTCTGGCGGGTCCTGGTCCATCACACTCGGCTCGGGTAGTCGTCCAGCTAGCAGTTGCTCCATCGCCTCCCATTCCTCGTCGCTCTCCCTTCTTCCTGCGCACCTCTTCGTCGCCCCAGCAATGGCGCGTACAGCGAGCGCCTGGGCTTCGCACTCTGCGGTGTGGGCGAGTGTCCGCCTCCTTGACTTCGGTGGCGTCCATCGTAGCGCCTTGAGCACGTCCGCCGCGCCTTTCCTCATCTCCCGGTAGTGCTCCCTCCTCTCTCCCTTCACCGCCTCGCACTCGGCGCATAGGACGTGCCTAGTGTTAGCTATTGTCCTGCAACATCCAGGATGCCAACAACCTTCAGCCCCATCGGCACACGCTCCTCCTCCCTCCTCGTCCCACCCGTCCTGCCACGCCTCTGCCTCTAGGCTGGCCCTCCATCGCCTCCCGTGCTCTATACCTCGGGTCTGTCCCGTCCGCATGCCGTGTACCAGCCTTAGCCTCGCCTTCTCCCCGCAGGCCTCGGGCTGGCGCTGGGTCGATTTTGGACCCCGTTCTCTGTCTCCCTCGTATCTCGTGTCGCCTGATATCGTCCCCGTCGCCTTGATTACCGTCCTCCACACGTTGTCGTCTCCTCCCTTTCGCGCTGTGTGCCCGCCGTCCAGCCGCTTTCGTACCCACCGCCCAATTTTCTCCTTCGCTTCTTGATACAGCCTCCTGTCTCGGATCTCCGGCGCCTGCCCCTCCTCCTCATGCGTGTAGATGCATGCCCTGTTCGTCACGTGTCGTGCTAGGTCCATCTCGTACGCGCTCGTTACCCTGCTCCGCAGGTGTGCCTTTGCCGCCGCGTCCGCCATGGAATTGGGCGCGTTGCCCGCGTGCCCCTCTGTGAAGATGAAAATCACGTACCCTCCGTGGCGCTGTATAATGTCGATTTGTGCTTGCACCGCCGCATAACCTTGCATTGAGTGCGCTCCTATTTGTCTCGCCGCGTGCCCGCCCCCGATACGCCCGTTCGATCTCCTTGAGCGCCGTCTCGCTGTCCGACATTACTAGGCATCGGTGTGGCTGGAGGGTCGTTTCTGTTTCGTCCGCCTTCGTGCGCAGGAAGCTGTAGATGGCGTACATCTCGGCGTCGACAATCTCCCACGATCCCGGCAGGGCGCCTCCCCATATTCAGCCGCACGGGCGTACAGTATGTGGACTGCGCAGGGCCGCCGCGTCGTCTCGCTCACGCACACCGACTCTAACTTTTGTTCCATGCACAACGAGGTCGCCGTCCTCTCAGGGCGCGCAGTCCGCTAGTCACGGGACGGTGTAAGTGTGAGCCGACGGCCGACGGTGGCGGGCGGCGCAAGCGCTGCGCTCTTCAGCATGCGTTCGCCTCTTCCCACTCCCGGATCATCCGGCGCAGCGTGTGGTTGGGGGCGAGGAAGGTGTGCACGAGCGCCTCGCCCGTCATCGGGCTCGTCGACTTGGTCGCGAGCCAGCGCTCGATCGCCGACCGCTCGTACGAATGCCCGTCCGCCGCCATCACCGGGTCACTCATGAGCTCGGTCGTGATCGGGCAGATGAAGTCGGCCGGCGGCTCCTCCTCCCTCGGAGCCGGCGCCTCTGCGGCCGAGGACGGCCCTTGCGCCTCCGCCGCCCGCCTCCCCTCCCCCAGCCTCGCGCTCTCCTCGAGCGCCGCCGCCAGCTCCGCCTCCTCCGCCGCCGCCACCGCCTCCTCCGCCGCCTCCTCTGCCGGCGCCTCGGCCTCTTGCGACGGCCCAGCGCCGCCCCCTCCGCCCTGCTCTTCTTCTTGCCCCTCTTCTTGGCCGTCTTCTTCTCCTCGGGGCACTTCCCCGCCTCCTCCTCCGCCAGCAGCGCCGCCGCAGCCTCCTCGGCCGCCCTCTCGGCCTCCACCCTCTCTGCCGCCGCCCTCTCGGCCACTGCCCTCGCCACCCTCGCCTCAATCTCCGCTCTCTTCGCCTCCCTCGCCGCCGCCACAAGTGCGCGCTCGCACTCGCCGTGGCCCTCCTCCTTTGCCAGCTGCAGCGCCGTCTTGCCGCTCGCATCGCACGCCGCTGTGTCTGCGCCCGCCCGCAGCAGGCAGAGCACGATGGCGGGGTGGCCATGGTAGCACGCGATGTGCAGCGGCGTGACGCCACTGTCCTTGGCTCGGTTGACTGCCGCGTCGGCGCCGAGTAGCAGCCGAACGCACTCGAGGTCGCCCTTCTGGCACGCAATGTACAGCGGCGTGGCGCCGTCGTCCCTGGCTTGGTTGACCGCCGCGCTAGCCTCGAGAAGCAGCCGAACGCACTCGAGGTGGCCCTTCTGGCACGCAATGTACAGCGGCGTGGTGCCGTCGCCCCTGGCTTGGTCGATCGCCGCGCTAGCCTCGAGGAGCAGCCGGAGGACGTCGACGTGGTCCTTCTCGCACGCAATGTACAGCGGTGTGACGCCGTATTCCGTGGCTTGGTCGACCGCCGCGCCCGCCCCGAGGAGCAGCCGGGCGATCTCGAGGTAGCCGCTCCAGCACGCGACGTACAGCGGCGAGAAGCCGCCTTCCGTGGCCTGGTTCACCGCCGCGTCGCTGGCCCCGAGGAGCAGCCGGGCGCACTCGAGGCGGCCCTTCTCGCACGCGACGTACAGCGGCGTGGCGCCGTCGTCCTTGGCTTGGTTGACCGCCGCGCTGGCGCCGAGGAGCAGCCGCACGCACTCGAGCTGGCCGTTCTGGCACGCGATGGACAGCGGCGTGGCACCGTTGTTCTTGGCTTGGTCGACCGCCGCGCTGGCCTCGAGGAGCAGCTGGGCGCACTCAAGGTGGCCCTTCTGGCAAGCGATGGCCAGCGCGGTGGAGCCGCCGCCGGTCGTCGCCCCCACGCTCGCGCCGCTCTCGAGCAGCAGCCGCACGGCGTCGGCCTGCCCGCACCAAGCGGCGTAGACCAGCAGCGTGAAGTGGTTCTGGGCCTCGAGCCGCGCGTCGAGCAGGGCCGTGAGCGCCGGGCCGCGCGTCCGCCCGGAGAGGAGGGCGCGCAGCGAGGCCAGGTCGCCCTTGGCCAGCTCGGCGAGCAAGGTCGGGCTGATGGCGCCGCTCATGGGCTCCACTGGGCAGGAAAGAGACGGTTTTGGGCGTGGAGGGCGGGGACAGGCGCGGGTGGGTGGGACGGTGGGACCCGCGGAGGGGGATCGGGACGGTTGAGGCTGTCAAGGGCCAGTACTTTGATGCAGAGGGGAAGTGTCATGTGGAGGCGCTGCTCTTCGAGGAGTTCGGCGCCATGAGCGCGGGGGCGGTGGATGGAGGAGCTGCTGATGCCGTGATGCGGGTGGCTGAGGTGGCGGGCCGGAAGCTCACATGGTGGCAGTACGACCAGGCGTCGTGGTCGGCGCGCGAATGGATGCCGTTTGTGCTGCAGCGACTGTCGGTGCAGCTCTGGACGGCGCTCGCGGACGAGGCACCGCGCGCCATTGGTGCGGCGTCACGCGGCCGCGAGGGACCGCGATTGCTTCCTAGAATTTTACCCTGATTCGCTCAGGATCAGAGAGAGAGATTTTTTGTTTTCAGGATCAGAATGACTCCTATGCGCTGTCTGATCTCCTCGTTGTACAGCAATCCTTCCTGCCCCCGCGCCCTCTCTTGCTCGGCAGCGGCGGACTCGCGCGCGCACTGGCAGGAAAGAAGAAGTTTACGACCCTCGCACGACACTAGGCACGGGACTGGCGCGCACTGGCACTAACAAATTAGATATTCTTATCTTTTTGCCCCCCTCCGAGACTAGGGACAGAACCACACCAGTATAGACCAGAGGGACTGCGCCTCGCCCCCGCTTGCCCTGACTGCACAGGATAGCGTGCCCCGATTACGGCGACACTTAGCGAGGGCACTGCGCAAGGAGGGGGTGCGTCGACTTTCTTTTTGTCCTCTCGGGGGAATGTTCTCTCGGCGCCCATGGCCTTCTGAGGTTTCGTACTAATGACGTCCTTCTTGGCACTTCGGGGGTCGGTGTGTGCGTATCTGTGGTGTCTAATTCCTCCGGTATGCTACATAGGTTTCCCGATCTGAGACCTCCGTTCAATCCGAGCGGTCTCTTGCTTGAAGCCTTCCCGCTGGCGGGAGATCCCCAGTTCGGAACCTGCTCGACCCTTATATTTTTGTTCACACCTGAGCGGGCTCAATTTGCGCAGATGCTCCTACGAATTTCGAACTCGTGTCTTCTCACGCTTAGCGCTTGGTGTGTGTTCGTTTTTCGTCACGGGAGGCACTGGCACTAACACAGATACACCATGGGAGCCGCCTAAGCGACTCCTGTGCGAGGACGGAAAGAAGCATTTTACAACACGGGACTGGCGCGCACACAGACTGGCACGAAAAAGAAGAATTCATAAACACCGAAAGAAGAAACCCACAGAGGGCCGATGATTACCTCCTTAAAAACCCCGTGTGGTGGCCGGGGGGGCGGCGTGCCGTGCTCTCCCATCCCAAGAGAAGATCTCTCTCTCTCTCCCCCCCATCCCTCCCTCTCTCTGTTTTCTTTCTTTCTGATCATCTCCCAGTGCTCCAAGAAAGTGCTTCGTCTGATTTCACGAACGACAAGCCTCAGACGGATGTGCGAATTGCGGCCTGCAGAAGAATCACTTGATTACATGGGAAGCGACAGAGTGCATATATATCACATGTAGCATGCGCATGCACATGCAACGCTAACTAACGGACTGGCTGTCACCAGCTGACAATCTCCGTATCTTTCTGAGCTGAAGCACATTATGTAAGTGAGGGCCGGTGTCGGAGAACGGGAGAGAGCGTCGCCACCTGCACACCTCTCGCACCTCGGCCCGGTTGTAAAAACTGATTTAAAGACCGATACCTCACAAATCTAGTGGATATATGGCACATATGGGCGGTTAAAGGACCGCCGTGTGTTTCTCTCAGGGACGCGCTGGAGTCTGCTTGGTCCAGCACACGTAGCCCTTCACTCCTGGCGCTGTGGCGACGAGCGTCGCAGCGTGCAGCTCGCACCTAGTCTCACAAGAGCCGCGCGTGCGGGCAAGGCTGCGTGCGCGCGGTGCGAGCTTGGCCCCAGTGCAGTGCTTGCAGCGCACCGGCGATAGCTGCCGACCTCGGCGTACTCGTACCCGAGGCACTTCGAGCTGCGCGCGAGAACGGGCGGGCATCAGCGAGCGCCGTTGCGTGGAAGAGGACCTGGCGTGGACGGGTCATCTCGGGCTGGGTATCTCGGGGCTGCCTGGACGCGCAGCGCTGGCGGCACTGTTCGTGCGTGCGCACGCCCCACGCCTCGGTGAAGGTGCCCCGCCCCCCTCCCCCCGCCCTGCACGCCCCGGCCTACAAGCGGGGTGTGCAGCGACGGGTGACCGCGGGTGTGTCGGGCGGAGAGAGCGCCTGGTCGAGCGCCAGGGAGACTGGTAGCCTCGCCGCGGACCCTATATCTCCCTAGATCTCCCTAGATCTCCCTAGATCTCCCTAGATCTCCCCATATCTGGTAGCCTCCCCGCGGACCGCAGCTGCAGGCGGCGCCCACAGATCGCCCCCCTTGCTCCTGCTGACGCCTTTGGTGCGCGGCGGCCGACGGGCTCGCGGCGGCGGCGGCGGCGGCGGCGGAAGCAGCAGAGACGGAAGCAGCAGAGGCGCCGCTGCCGGGGGCGGCGGCGGCGGGTACAGGCAGCACCCCTCGATCGCCGGCGCGGTGCGGTGCAACGGGCTGAAGCAGCCCCCACACTCGGCCGGAAACTCCGTCGCGACGCGGTTGCACGCCTACCAAAGTAAGAGAGAGACTCGCAGCCGTGACACACTGCCTCTTCCAGACCTGCTCGGTGTGTTGCGGCGCGGGGAAAGAGAGAGAGAGAGAGAGAGAGAGAGAGAGAGAGAGTCAGAGCACAACTCGCGCCTGCGCAACCTCGGCGCCGCCGACGCTCGTGAGCCATGTGACTCGAGCGCCTAATTAGTACTAATTCACCATCAGTTAACTAGTGATTACTAATTAAGCCGTCGCCGCTTGACTCGAGCGCCGCACGAGAAGCAAGCGCCGCCTCTGCACGCCGGCGTCGACCAGACCGCCCCTTGGCACGATGTGGGGCTCCCACCGGGGCAGAGGGCGCCGGGAGGCCACGGCGGAGGAGGGGGCGGGAGTGGGGACGGCGGCGGGCGTGGCGGGCGCGGCGGCAACGGCGGGGGCGGCGGCGGCGGCGGGTGGGGAGGCGGCGGCAGCGGTGATGGCGGCGGCAGCGGGTGGGGCGGCGGCGGCGGCGACGGGTATACGCAGCAGCCTTGCAGGGCTGGCGCGGTGAAGTGCATTGGGCTATAGCAGCCGCCGCACTGGGCGGGGAAGTCCTGCGCGACGCGATTGCACGCCTGCGGCGGCGGCGGCGGCGGCGGCGGTGTTAGTCGCGGGTGTGAGACTGTGTCGCCCCGCGCTGCTGCACGGCCTCCGATGAGAAGCCTCTGGCCGCTGTGTAGTGTGTAGCGGAGGTGTCACAGGGTGCTGGGCGCGGGCGCGCCTCGGTCACGCCTCCTCCGCCGGCGTGCGCCAGCCAGGTCACGCGCTCCTATTAACTAAGTAATTAACTACTAATGAACTATTAATTATTAATCAGCCGCCAGCCAGGTCACGCGCTCCCCGCACGAGAAGCAGCCGCCGCCGTGGCACACGACTCGCGCCTGAGTAATGAACGAACTTAACGATTAGTTTGCTGTTAAGTATGAATTGAGCCGCCGTGGCACACGACTCGCGCCTGAGTAATGAACTAACTAAAGTATTAGTTAGCTGTTAATTATGAATTGAGCCGCCGTGGCACACGACTCGCGCCTGAGTAATGAACGAACTAACGATTAGTTAGCTGTTAAGTATGAATTGAGCCGCCGTGGCACACGACTCGCGCCCACACCGCCTCGCCGCACGACGTGTGGGCTGTTTCCCGGGCACAGGGCGCCGGGGGGCGGCGACGGCGGGGGAGGAGGGTGAGTGACGGTGGCTGCGCGGACCGCCACCAGCGTCACCCCGCTCCCCGCGCTGGCGAGGTGGCTGTCGACGCGAGCGCCACCTAATTAATTAACTAATTAACTCTTAATTAGCTATTAATTAATTAGTGGCTGTCGACGCGAGCGCCACCGGTGTGCGTGCGGGGAGCTCCGACTTGGCGCGAGGCGGGAGGGGGAGGGGCGGCGGAAGGGGGAGGGGCGGCGGCCCCGGGCCCCGGAGCGGTACCAGTCGAGGATCTCGACGATCTCGTCTTGCTTGCTCCCCTCGGGCACGTTGACCCGCAGCGGCGAGCTCGGGTGCGCGTCACTCCACGGCGGGTGCGGGTCGGTCCTCCCTTCGCCGAAGCCCAGCAGGCCGACCGCGCGGAGCTTCTGGACGATGGTGTACCTCTCGGACGAGCCGCTGCCGGAGACGGGCCCCGAGGAGATGACGCCCATGTAGCACGCGGCGCAGAAGGTGGTGTGCAGGTTGAGGGAGAGCTGCGAAAGGGAGAGCGTCCCGCCGCCGTAGGCGGTGTCGACCACACCCGTCATGTGCCTGTTGTCTGGACATGGCGCGCCGGCGCCGACAGAGGAGCCCTGCTCGCCGGTTAACGTGCGGTCCACGTCCCACACGCACAGACAGGCGGAGTTGTCGTGCTTCAGATGGCCGGCCGCAACCATGGCGGCCATGTCGGGAGCGGCGTGGCCCGGATCGACGGCGGTCGACGAAGTCATCTGGACGGTGACGGGCCGCGCGGCGGCGAGGAGGAGCTGCCGCGCCAGCCAGGCGCCGGCGAGGAGATGCCGCATGCCGGAGCTGCTCCGTGGTGTTCAGAGCAGTCACCTAACGGCGAGCAGTAAGGCGCTGTCCCTGAAAAAGAATTCGCGCCTACGCGCACGGAGAGGTGACGAGTGAACTGCAGGTAGTGGGGAAGGCAGCTTCGATTGGACGTCAGCAGCAGTCACAAACGAACAAGGCGCTGTTCCTCAAGTGAAAAAGAATTTTACAAGGCCGGTTGGCTACAACACTGTCCCTCTGTGTTCGTGTGCGTCGCCCATCTCTCCCTGGAGATGACTGCTCTATTTATTTATTTATTACTGGGCACGCGCGAAAGCAGCCTCCTTAAAGTCAAAGGGGTCTACATTTGGAGAGATACCCAGGACCAAGACACAGGGCACAGTGTTACCTTACGTACTATGTAACATTTGCACGGACATGACAAATCTCCTTACTGCATGTCATCCTTACTGCATGAAAGCTTCGCTTCCCTCAAGCCCTTGAGTAACCTGAGCCGAGTTCCTGGGTGATCAATGCCACAGTCTTTAAGCACAGTGCCTGCAAAGTTGTCGCGCCCGCCTTGGAGCTCATGCACGATCTCGTCGATCTCGATTTCGCTCTTCTCGAGCTTCGAAATGATGCGTTCGATGTCCACGTCTTTGCCTCGCCAATCGACATTTCCCGGCGTCGTGAGCCAGGCACGCCACTGCGAAGCTTCCGGCGCGGGCGCGGGTGCGGGCGCGGGCGCGGGCGCGGGCGCGGGCGCGGGCGACGGCGGCATCAAGCCGGTGCACCACCCCGGTGGTGGCAAGCCCTTCTTCGGCGGCCCCGGCTTCGGCGGCTGCGGCTTGCGGTCCGAGGTGCCAGAGGCGCCGCCCGGCAACTTCCTCTGGTAGAAGCCAAAGCGCCGAATCTTGCAGAGGATCTCGGGCTGTCGCGAGGCGTCGCCGCTCCAGCAGGCACACGCGCGCGGCGGAGTGCTCGCTGCGCGAAAGCAGAGCTTACCCTCGGGGCCGTGCGCATCGCCCGCACAGCTCGGCGAGGACGCCGAGCGCGTCGAGCTCGACCCGTCTAGCAGCCCAGTGCGATGGCGTATCGCCGTCCGCATCCACAGCCATCAGCACCTCTCGCCCGCACCGCTCGAAGAGGAAGCGGAGTGCGTCGACATGGCCATTGGCAGCGGCGAGGTGCGCTGGCGTGCGGCCGTCGTCAGCCGCAGCCGTCAGCACCTCTCGCCCGCACTGCTCGACGAGGAAGCGGAGTGCGTCGACATGGCCATTGGCAGCGGCGTGGTGCGCTGGCGTGCGGCCGCTCGCAGCCGCAGCCGTCAGCACCTCTCGCCCGCACTGCTCGACGAGGAAGCGGAGTGCGTCGACATGGCCTTTGCCAGCGGCGTCGTGCGCTGGCGTGTCGCCGTTTGCATCCGCAGCCATCAGCACCTCTCGCCCGCACTGCTCGACGAGGAAGCGGAGTGCGTCGACATGGCCATTCCTAGCGGCGTCGTGCGCTGGCGTGTCGCCGTTTGCATCCGCAGCCGTCAGCACCTCTCGCCCGCACTGCTCGACGAGGAAGCGGAGTGCGTCGACATGGCCATTCCTAGCGGCCCAGTGCGCTGGCGTCCAGCCGCCCGCACCCGCAGCCGTCAGCACCTCTCGCCCGCACTGCTCGAAGAGGAAGCGGAGCACGTCGACATGGCCATTCCTAGCGGCGTCGTGCGCTGGCGTGTCGCCGTTTGCATCCGCAGCCATCAGCACCTCTCGCCCGCACTGCTCGACGAGGAAGCGGAGTGCGTCGACATGGCCATTGTAAGCGGCGAGGTGCGGTGGCGTCCAGCCGCCCGCACCCGCAGCCATCAGCACCTCTCGCCCGCACTGCTCGACGAGGAAGCGGAGCACGTCGACATGGCCATTGGCAACAGCGCCGTGCGCTGGCGTGTCGCCGTCCGCATCCGCAGCCGTCAGCACCTCTCGCCCGCACTGCTCGACGAGGAAGCGGAGCGCGTCGACATGGCCATTGTAAGCGGCGCGGTGCGCTGGCGTGCCGCCGTCCGCATCCGCAGCCGTCAGCACCTCTCGCCCGCACTGCTCGAAAAGGCATCGGAGCGCGTCGACATGGCCATAGTAAGCGGCCTTGTGCGCTGGCGTGTCGCCGTCCGCATCCGCAGCCATCAGCACCTCTCGCCCGCACTGCTCGCCGAGGAACTCGCAAACGTCCCGTCGCGGCATGGGACGTCCGAAAAACGAGTGCGCCCCGCTTTCTTTTTAGTTATTTTTCGCTAGCCGTCGCCCACCCTAGGGAGTCTGCCTCTTCCTATCTCTCTTCGCAGTCTCTCGCAGATTCTCGCTGCGACCTTCATGCCACCTCGCGGTCGCCCCCTTCTCGTCGTTCTTTCCCTTGTCTCTTCTTCTTCTGTCGCGTCGCTCTCCTCTGCTTCGTTCTGCGGCGCCGCCGCCTCCTGCCGGTCCCTTGCTCTCGCGGCTTCTTGCGCCTTTCGGCGCAGCTCCGCCCTCCTCGCTGCATATCCTGGCCCCTCGAGTCTATCGAGCTCTCCTCGAGCAAGGACGAGTCTTCTGTGACGCCCACTGCGATCATTTGCCTCCCAGTCATATTATTTTATTAAATGAACTCATATTATTGCTCAGAGACTATGGAAAGTTCACGTCATGACGGTTAAAACGGCTGTTAACCGTCATGACGTGGTCAATATGTCATGACAGCGGCTGCGAAACGACAGCAGCAACGACGGCAGCAACGACAGCTGGTGACAGCTGGTGACAGCTGGTGACAGCTGGTGACAGCTGGTGACAGCCAGCTGCCAAGGAGGAGTGAAAGGCACCAGGAACAGTGACAGCCATAGTGACAGTGACAGTGAAGCCAGTGAATGCCAACGACAGGCGGTGACAATGTCAGCGCGGGGCCCCGCGAGTGACAGCGACAGCGACAGCGACAGCAACAGCGACAGCGACAGCGACAGCGACAGCGAGGCAGCGCCACAGGCACAGCCGTGAGGCAGCCATAGCCCTCGTGAACGGGCCCAACCGCCCACCCACCCATCTGTGCAGTACACCCCATGGACTAAAATAAGACACCGGTGCGCGTGGATGTAGCTCTCAACGCCTGATGCACAGCAGCGTTTGTGATCGTGGATTTCAAGGTCCCAATCCTCGCGGCTGAGGATTGACACCGTTCGCTCGCGTGAGATTTTTGAGCGGCAGATGAACCAGCGCTGGAGCCCATCACGGCACATGCTGGAGGAAGGAGGGCAAGGGTTTTGCAGATTCTCCGACTCACGCCCGCTGCTGCTGACCGTGCGTGGCTACTGTTGAGAGGGTTTCTCATGTGGCGTCGGGCGTGCGAGTGAGCGGTCTTGCGCGCATGCATCTATATCTTGAGTGTCCTGTCTCTCTCGTTAGTGGCACCACACACTGTCCTGCGGGGGTGCTCATGACAGCAGCAATGACAGCAGCAATGACAGCAGCAATGACAGCAGCAATGACAGCAGCAATGACAGCAGCAATGACAGCTGCGCAATTACAGCAGCAGTGACAGTTGGACCAGTCGGGGATGGTTACGACAGCAGCAACGACAGCAGCAACGACAGCAGCAACGACAGCTGGTGACAGCTGGTGACAGCTGGTGACAGCTGGTGACAGCTGGTGACAGGTAGGTGTCACTGTCGCTGTCGTTTGCTGTATGACAGCTGGCAGCTGTGATGACAGCGGCTAACCGTCGTGACAGCGGCTAACCGTCATGACGTGAACTTTCCATAGTCTCTCAGGTCCACTCTCTCTTCGAACAATATGTCGATTTACTTTTTTCGTCAGCCCGGCACGAGCCTCGCTTCCTCCCCACCGCTTGCCCATTTTGTGATGGTCGCTGAGCAAAAGAAGCCCAAGAAGGCCAAGGAGCTCCGTCGCCACCTCCACACTGATGCTGATGCGACTGGGGCCGGCGAGGCGGCGAGCGCTGCGCCCGGCCGCCTGAACCGCGAGCCGGTCCTCTGTGACGTGAACGCGCCGCCGCCAAAGTGGGCGAGGCCGCTGCGCGCCGACCGCTCTGCGATTCTGTCGCCGGCGCCCGCCGTCGCGCTCGAGATGGGCGTCGCCCGCGCCTCCGACATGCTGCGAGCAAAGCTCGACGAGCTTTGCCGCGCGTCGCGGCTCCCACGGCCCGTCCGGCCGCTCACCTTTGAGCGCTGGCGCTGGGCGGCCAAGTGGGAGGAGGATGGCCTCCTTCCAAAGAGCGCCGGCCACCCGGTGCTGCCCGGCGCGGCGCCTCTGCTCAAGCCCAGCAAGGAGAACAAGGCGGGCGGTGGGCCGGTCGCCGGCGGCGCCGCGGGCGCGGGCGCCGCGACGGGCGGCAAGGACGCTGCGGCCGCCCTCGCCGAGGACCTGATGATGCAGGGCCTGATGCTCTCCGACGCGCGCGCGATCGCGCTGGAGCTCAAGGCCGAGGCGGCGGCGCTCTCCAAGAAGCGTGCAAAGGAGCGGCAGCAGGCAGCGTCGGGCAAGGGGGCGTCGCTGCCGCCGCTCGAGATCGAGGTGCACCGCCACTCGGTCGACCTGCGCTAATTAGCTCTTAATTAACTCTTAATTGACGATCGAGGTGCACCGCCACTCGGTCGACCTCCGGTGCGGCCGCCACTTCGTCAAGGTTGGCCACGCACCGTACGCCAAGCTCGCACTCCTCCACCGCCGTGCGATGCCGGCGGAGGGCGCGCCGGAGGCAGAGGCGGAGGCAGCGGTTGAGGCGCCGGCCTGGTGGAGCAGAGGTGTGAACAGCGTCTCTTCACACCTGCAGCTGTGAATAGGCGGCCGCGGTTGAGGCGCCGGCCTGGTGGTCCACCGAGGGATCGCCCGGAGGCGTGGAGATCGAGGCGGAGGTCGCCGGCGCGCGGCTGTCTGCCCAGGCGTCGGAGGCGACGCCCGACCCGCGCGCGGCCTTCCACCAGCGGCTCTTTGCGCTGCTGCTGCGGTGCGGACGCCGCGCGGGCGCGGCTTGCACACGGCTCGCCCGCTCCACGCCCGCGCCCCGCTCCCGGAATAGGTACAAGACGCTGCGCGGACACGGCTTCCACGCCGCCATCGCGCCGGCGGTGTGGCGCGTGCTCACCTCGAGGCTTGGGGTGGGGTTCGAGGCCTTCGCCTCGCCACTCAACTGCTACCTGCCCACGTTCGGCTCCGGCTTTTCGGACGTCGACGGCGCGTTCGGGAGCAGCGGCTCCTTCTTCCGCCTCAAGCCGGCGCAGCTCGCCTCGGGCTCCTGCGCGTGCAACCCGCCCTTTGTGCGCCGCCTCCCCGCCCGAGGTCGCGTCGCCGGGATGACCGCGAGAGCGTGACACGGTTGCGACCTAGGTGCACGCCCTCCTCCTCTTCCTCAGGTGTGAACAGCGCCTCTTCACGCCTCCGGCTGTGAGCAGGTGCACGCCATCCTCGACGCCGCCGCCGCGCGCGTCGAAGAGCTGCTCGCCGCGGCTGCCGCCGCCGACGCCCCCCTCTCCTTCGCTTTCATCATGCCGGGCTGGAAGGAGACGCGCGCGCACGCCAGCCTCTCCGCTTCGCCCTTCCTGCGGAGGGCGGTCCTCGTCGCCGCCGCAGACCACGGCTTCTGCGACGGTCGCGCCGGCCCAGGCCCGCCGCGCGGTGAGCCGCCCCCGAAACTTCTCGGAACCTTCCCCGGTAGGCGCGTCGCACCAGCGGGCCGACCCGCTGCGCGCGTCGCCGTACGACACCGTCGTCTTTGTGCTGCAGACGGAGCGCGGCTCTCGCAAGTGGCCCGCGGATGGGCGGTTCGAGGCGGAGCTGCGCGCCGCCTTTGCGGCGAGTGTGCCGCTTTCGTCTGCGGCGGAGCGGCAGGAGCGCAAGCGCAAGACGCCGCGCCGCGAGCCAAAGGCGAAGCGAGCCGGCGGCGGCAAGCCGACCGAGGCGGAGGCCGACTCCGACGAGGGCGAGGGGGGCGGCGGCGGCGGCGGCGGCGGAGCGGCGCCGTCGGAGGAGCTCCTCGCGGAGCTCGCGCCGCGGCTGGACGCGTGGGTGGCGGCCAAGCGGTCAAAGGACTTTGCCACCGCCGACAAGATCCGGGACGAGCTCAAGGCGGCGGGCGTGATCGCCGACAAGGCGAGGCCGGTGCCGCGCAAGGCGATCGAGAAGCGGGCGGCGAGCAAGGGGGCGGACGAGAAGCGACCGCCGAAGCGCGGGCGGGCGGAGTGAGGGCGCGGAGCCGGGAGAGGACGGTCGTATTGCGCGGCGGTGTGCCTGTGGCGCTAGTCCACTGACCTCATTATGTTTATGTTTTGCGTCTCGAGAGCACACAGTGAGAGTGCGCGTTCGTGTGCGAGTATAAGTGTTCTTCCTTCAGTCTTCTCACGAGTCGAAGCTCCGCGGAACCGCACCACTTGAGGCGAACTGCGGGTAAATAAATATTTTTGCACGGATGAACGCGAGCTCGTGGGGTCCACGAAAGCACCGCTTGGCGGTGTCAGAACCGCCCTCTTTGACCCTGGGGGGCCGAATCTGCGCCCTCTCGGCCCCGGCGGCGGTCCCAGAGAGGGCCGGCACGCGGGCTCCGCCGACGCTCTCGCAACGCGGGTCGCGCCGCGCGCCTCCCGGACGAAGCGTGTTGGTGCGCGACGGCGATCCTCGCCTGCGGGGAGCGGAGCACACGCGTCGGGATAGCGAGGGCAGCACAAATATTGCACTCACGTCCCAGTATGGCAGCAGCCGGACGGGTTGGGTGGCGTGAGGGCAGGGTGGTGAGGATGATTCCACAGATCTCGCTGGAAATGGCCGTGTCCTTCCCGGGGGAGGCAGGCGAGCACGCACCTCGCGTCCGAGCGCGAGTCGATGAGTGGTCGCCGAGAGATCGCCGAACCACGTTTCGAGTGCGCGCGCACACAGCACAGCTGCGGGTTGTAACTCGACTGCCGATCGCGCGTGCGGGATGTAAATGCAGCTCGCTGGCGCCAGTGCACGGTGGCAGGGACTGGAGGCTCGGCCGGAGGGGAAGAGCAGTCCTCAATCGTCACGTGGAGGTCGCTGGGCTGGATCCATCGAACTGCCACACACCTGGAGCAGAGGCACATCAGGTCTTGCGGCACACTCTCCGACAGATGCATGCCTTTTGAGCGAGCCCACGCGCCTCCACCGTCGCGTAGTATGCCAGCGGCACGCCGGTACGCCGACGAGTCGTGCGCGCTCGGCAGTAATCGGCGTTGAGACTGCCTAGCGCGCACATCGAGAGCGCCGAGTTGTGTTGCCGCGAGGAATCCTGCTCGAAGATGGGGTCCGAGCGGCGCCTGATCGCATGGGATGGATCAGTGGGGCTATCACGTGGGTACTAGGCCTACTCAGTCAGGAGTTGGCGAGTGTGTGGGAGATTCACGCCCGTCACTCAACGTCTGTTGAAAAACTGTTCGCTGAGCAAGCTCACGGTCGAGCGGGCTTGACGCGCGCTTCAGGATAGCAAGAGGCGTGCCCACTCCCCTGAGGAGCGTGCGGGCACGCCTGGGAATCGTTGTGGAGCGACCATGGACTGGGATGACAGCCGGCGAAGCACTGCGCCAAAACCATGGCGCCGAAAAGCGTCCGCCCTCAACGTGCTGGGAAGCTTCACGGCGGAGGCTGTGAAGTCGCGGCACAACCTGAGCGCACGCACGCACCGTGCTGGGGAGGAGTTGGCCTGCGAGCGGCGAGCGCTCCCGAGCGCGCGGCGCCCCGTTCTGGCCATCTTGCGCTTTCCCACCACAAAATCGCCTCCATTTTGCGCGCCTCCGGTGGCAACAAAAACAACTCTAACACTCACACGTCTCTCCGGTGGCAGGTCTAGCCGGGCCCGGTTGATGATACTTTTGATGTTTGCGCGCCGGATCTCGACTCCGCCGTGCTGCGGTGCGTCCCAAAGCAAAACTTGTGGCAGAGGGGCCAGATTGGCCGATTTATAACGACGAGACAGCGTCTGAAGGCTATTTTGCGGCGACACCGATACGCAGTTGAGGGCCCACGGTTGTGGCTAGTGGAGGGTGCTGTACAATCCGAGGGCGTTCCCATGGCCTCACGGGCCCGGGCGACGATCGTGGCTAGAAAAATCAAAAAGTATCATCCGTGGGGGCGAGATTTTTAACTGTGTAGCTCGATTTTGACCCAGAACTACAGACTAGGTCCAGCCCTGGGTGGCGCAGGTTGTGACATTTGGCGATTCCGCGACTTACTGGGCCCCTGAGCCGCTACCCGTGTGCGATTTTTTGTGGCCCGGACATGATACTGATAGTAAACGGGTCAGAACCGGCCAAACACAGGCTACAGCCCCACACACGCGCCCGCCATAGCTCCTGGAGAGCATGCGCGAGTGACGCGCTGCAAGCCGCGAGAGTGGCATCAGAGGCAGGAACGACGTGCTCTTGCTGCACCTCGCAGCTGCACCAAGTGTGCTCGCAGTGTATCCCACGGCCACTGCCTGCGGCATTGCTCTCGTGCAGCTAGGCGATGCAGGTCCATCAGCAGGGCTCATCCAATGCGAGCGCACATTGTGCGTAGCCGCGGGCAGGTGGCAGTGCACAGCCGCACACCGGCTGTGGCGGCTCGAATGCCCCCGGCAGTGCTGCTAGTCATCAACTTGCGTATTAGGGCCGCAGCAGACTGCTGCTGTGGCAGCAGCAGCAGCCTGCTGCTGCCTGATTCAGTCAAGCCAGCGGTGCAGCGAGGCGTGCAGAATTCGCGCGGTTTGGTACCTCCTGAGGCTGAGCGCGTTCAGACCCGGTGACCGGAGTTGGATGGTCCGATGGAGCTCGGCGAGCTCCATCGGACCAACCATGGCCGGACGGCGGAGCGTGAGGTGGCGAGCGGAGAGATGTACCGCAAGACCAAAAAAAACACGGATCTGACGTTCTCAGCTCACCGGCCCTGGATGTGAGGCTACCGACTGCACTCCAAGTGCTCCAAGTGACGATTGTCACTGACCACTTCGTAAAGCTGATCCAACCTCGCACGCGAGTTTGCAAGCGCGTTGTCGGCGCCCTCCAGCGCAACCCTCTCTGCGCTCGGTTCATCAGATGCGAGCAGCGCTTGCAGCCCGCCGTCATCCGTGAAAAGCTGGAGGGCAATGTCGACGGCGGCCTGCTGCATCGTCGTCTCGTCGTCGCCAGTGGCTGGGTCTTCTGGCTCCGACCGGACGGCTCCACCGCCCAGCATCTGAGACATGAACGCGAGGTCAAATTCTGGCATCAGCTCGGGCATCTGCCTCTGCCCCCTCGCCGCATCGACGAGCGCGCTCGTGTCAGCTCGCAGCTCTCCTGGTGCCGCTGCTTGGCCGCCGCGCTCGCACTCGCTCCGCTCGATGCCATCGTGAGGCTGCAACGGTCTGCGAGCTCCTTTCGCCCAGCGGGTCCACCACAGAGTTCTCCCAGTCATGTGCCCAAATGCGCCCGCCGTTTTTCGTCATACCCCCCCCCTGGAAACCCGCCGACTTTGATTGGGTCCGGTTCAACCTCACTCTCATCTTTATACTTACAGATACAAAACGTCAGATCTGCGCCACCCAGGGCTGGACCTAGTCTACACAGAACGGCCCCAAATCGGCCCGGAACCGACCCGTGGGCCCGTCTGCCGCACCCAGCTCCGCCGGGAGGGGCGCGTGCCGTTCCCCGCGGGTCGGGCGGGCCACGCAGACACGGCGGGAGAGCTTCCCGTGCCCTGTGAGTGCCGTCACACCGCCTCAAATAGGTCCCAAAGTGGGGTTTGCCTCAAGTGCCGCACGAGCGCGACTTCGGACTTGTCACACGATATTTTTCGATAACCTCGGGGCCGTGGCGGTTTAGCGCTCCACCTTTTCCCCCGCCCAAACGCCCAAAGCGGAAAGGCCAAACCGCAATCTGCCCGGTCCGCGGGCCCGGCGCGCTCGTCTCACTGCTGCGGACCCCTCATGCCTCAAGAGTCGCAAGTGTCGCATCCCTCGATCTTCTTGGGCAGCAGCTGGTTCGACAGGTCCTCTCCGTGGCCTAGGCAGCCGTCCTCGCCCTTGCCCCAGGTAAAGGCGGCGCCGTCGGCGGTGATGGCGAGGCTGTGGCTGCTTCCAGCCGAAACAACGGCGACGCGCTGGTCAGCAAAGCCTCGATCTTCTTTGGCTGCCGCTGGCCCTGCTCGTCGCCGTGGCCCAAGCGACCGGCTGCTCCGCGGCCCCAGCTCCAGAGGGCGCCGTCGGCGGTGATGGCGATGCTGTGAGACATTCTAGCCGAAACAGCGACGACGCGCTGGCCAGCCAAGGCCTCGACCTTCTTGGGCAGCAGCTGGTCCTGCACGTCGCCGTGGCCCAGCTTGCCACAGTCTCCATAGCCCCAGCTCCAGACAGAGCCGTCGGCGGTGATGGCGAGGCTGTGGTCGCTTCCCGCCGACACAGCGACGACGCGCCGCCCTTCCAGCGTCTCGACCTTCTTCGGCAGCAGCTGGCGCTGCTGATCGCCGTGGCCCAACCGGCCGTGGGCTCCAAAGCCCCAGGTAAAGACAGCCCCGTCGGCGGTGAGGGCGAGGTTGTGAGCATCTCCAGCCGAGACGGCGACGACGCGCTGGCCAGCAAAGGCCTCGATCTTCTTCGGCAGCAGCTGGCGCTGCCCGTCGCCGTGGCCCAACATGCCAATAATTCCACGGCCCCAGCTCCAGACGGCGCCATCGGCGGTGAGGGCGAGGCTGTGAGTGGCCCCAGCCGACACAGCGACGACGCGCTGGCCAGCCAAGGCCTCGATCTTCGTCGGCAGCAGCTGGTTCTGCTCGTCGCCGTGGCCCAAGCAACCGGCTACTCCGCGGCCCCAGCTCCAGACAGCTCCGTCGGCGGTGAGGGCGAGGCTGTGGCGGCTTGCAGCCGACACGCTCACAGCGCGCTCGCCGCCCAGCGTCGACGGGAGGCGGGTCGGCGTGTTGAGCCGCGTCACGCCCTCGCCGTGCCCGAGCAGCCCTGGTTTGTACTCTGTGCCGCACGACGAGAGCCGCCCCTCGCCGTCGATGAAGACGCTGCTGTGCGTTTCGCCTGCCGCCGCCCTCGCCGGCGGGTTGGACTCGCGCAGCAGCGCGGCGAAGCACAGCCACCGCACGGCGCAGCCCTCGCCCTCGGGCTGCGCCGGCAGCTCGAAGCCGCGCTCTTGCGCCCACAAGCGGATGCCCTCCAGCGCAAGCGAGGCGTGGAAGAGGAGCGAGCGAGACGGCCGCGACGCGAGCGATGTCGGCAGGATCGCAGCGAGAGAGGGCGCGCGCGAGGAGCTCCGTAGGGAGGTCGAGGAGGTGGGTGGGCGGCGGCGTGTCTGGCGAGGGCGCGGCGGCGGAGGCGGCGGCGAGGCGGCGCGAGCGGCGGCGCGGCGGGGTGGACATCGCGAGAAAAAGAAATTTTCCGCGCGAATTTTCCATCCGACTAGCGCAGACTGATTTGCCAACATCATACAAAACCAAAGAATCAAAAACAAAGAAACCGCGGGTCGAGGAGGCGGGTTGGCGGCGGTGTGTCTGGCGAGGGCGCGGCGGTCGCTGCGGGGGCGAGGCGGCGCGAGCGGCGGCGCGGGGGGGGCGGGGCAGACATCGCGGGCAGGAGAAATTTCTTCTAATTCTTGAGCCGACTAGCGCAGACTGATTTGCAACAACATACCTAAACCAGAAGATCCCCCCCCCCCCAAACAAAAAAAACAAAGAAACCGCGCGCCTGCCCTGATGCGTTCCTCTAGTTTGGTCAGATATCCCCACTCCCGTACACAATTCTTCGCGGGTTCTGGTGCAGTCACCCTCCCCCGCGACAGCGGCGAGGGCGGTCGAGTGCACGGAGCTAAGTGCCTCGCCGTCCTCGCGGGAGTCGCTTAGGCGGCTCCAGTGGTGTACCTGTGTTAGTGCCAGTGCTTTTGTTTTAGAATTCTGTTCGAGACAGTTAATTCCTCATAAAATTCTTTTCATGCCGCGAGCAGGACACAGCCGTGCTTCGTGAGCGCGGTGGGCTCTCTCCTGTCATTTGCAGCAGCTCCTTGGCGGTTCCTCGGCTCATCTGGCGCCAGTCTCGAAGGGCCCACCGGGCAGATTACGCTATTGCGCTTTTTGCAGGCTGCTTTTTCAACGCACTTTTCAACGCACTGCCTCCGCAGCGCCGGGAACAGCACCGTGCTGTTTCGACCCACTGCGCCGTCAGAACCCACTGCGGCTTTGACCTTTTCAACCTACCATTAGGCGCGTCAAGTTTTGCCAGCCGTCGCAATGCGTCGGCTGACAAAGCTCAATGCCCAGCTGCGATGAGAAGCTGCGCTCTCTCAGCACCCATCCCACCATGTCTACTGCTGACACCTCCGCAGCTATTTCCTCCGCCCACGCCCCCCAGTTGGTGCTGCCTCGTGCATCAATGCCTCCGTAAATCCATGACGAGGAGTGCTGCGTTCGCAGGTGCCTCCAGAGGTGCACCGGATGGTACACTGCTCGTACATTCATCTCCCCTACATATGCACAAAGTCTCCTTTCCCCTCTCCTCTTCTCTCATCTCAAGACTCACGCGGAAGCCGCCTCGAGTACGCGGCCAGCCTCGAGTACGCGGCCATCTCGTGCCTTCTCCCGGCAAGGGAGCTGCCCCGCAGTCTTTCTCCGCGATCTCTCCCCGCAGGCTCTCCGCCGCAGGCTCTCCGCCGCAGGCTCTCCCCCGCTGCTCTCCTTGCCCCATTCACGTCGTGGCAGCGGCCGCTTCGGCCGCCTTGGCCTTCGCGCGCAGTTTCTGCAGCCGCGATTGGATCGCTTTGTGCGGTGGCGCGGAGTCGGGCTCGTACTCGTTCATCCATGCCTCAAAGGCGCTTGGCGAAGGGCTCAGGGTGCGCTCTTGCACAACGCGCGCAAACACACGCTCGTTCTGCTCCGACCATCTGAAGTAGGGAGCCCTCTTCTTCGGCTGCTGCGGCGGCTGCACGGCGGCGGCGGCGGGCACAGCCACGCTGGTGGCGTTCGTGACGGTCGCGGCGGCATTGGCGACGGGCGCGGAAAGCGCCGCCACCGCCGTCGCCGCCTCTGCCGCCTCCCGCGGGCGCTTCTGGCCGCCGGCGGCGGCGGCGGGGTCGGCGGCGGCGGCGGCGGCGGCGGCGGCGGCGGCGGGGTCGGCGGCGGCGGCGGCGGCGGCGGCGGCGGCGGCGGCGATGGTGGCGGAGGTGGAGGCGGCGGCGGCGGCGGCGGCGGCGGCGGCAGCGGCGGTGCGTCGAGCGGTCCTTGAGTCGGCATTAGGCGCAATGCAACACAGGCCGCGGCCAAGCTCGTCGAGCTCGGCTATCCACAGCCCGTGCTTCGAGCGTGCGTGGGTACGCGTGTCCGTTCGAGTTTTGTTGCTGTGCAGGCAGCCGGGGTAGGAGCATAGGTATCGGTTGCTGGCGCTGGCGTGGTCGAGTGCATGTTGCATGTTCGCCGGCATGGCGAAGCTGTCCAGATCGGGAGACGACGCAGCGAGCCGGTCCAAGGCATTGCGGCTCACGTCGCTGCGGCTCACGTCGCGGCAGGCCGCCCCCGCCGCCGCGCGGATGTCGGCCTCGCTCGCGCCCGACGCTGCGGCGCTGCTGCGCGCCGCCTCGATCGCCGCCGCCCGCAGCTGCGGCTTGAAGGTGGAGCGCTCCGCGGCGGGCCGCGCCTGCCGGAGCTGCGCCTCGAGCGCCCGCACCGCGGCGGCGGCGGCGGTGACGAGGGCGGGGTGATCGCGGCGCACGCGCTGCTCCCGCTCGCGGGCGACCTCCTGGCCCACGTCGCGGCAGGCCGCCCCCGCCGCCGCGCGGATGTCGGCCTTGCTCGCGCCCGACGCTGCGGCGCTGCTGCGCGCCGCGACGACCGCCGCCTCGAGCAGCTGCGGCTTGAAGGTGGAGCGCTCCGCGGCGGGGTGATGCTGCCGGAGCTGCGCCTCGAGCGCCCGCACCGCGGCGGCGGCGGCGGTGACGAGGGCGGGGTGCTCGCGGCGCACGCGCTGCTCCCGCTCGCGGGCGACCTCCAGGTTCACGTCGCGGCAGGCCGCCCCCGCCGCCGCGCGGATGTCGGCCTTGCTCGCGCCCGCCGCTGCGGCGCTGCTGCGCGCCGCCTCGATCGCCGCCGCCCGCAGCTGCGGCTTGAAGGTGGAGCGCTCCGCGGCGGGGTGATGCTGCCGGAGCTGCGCCTCGAGCGCCCGCACCGCGGCGGCGGCGGCGGTGACGAGGGCGGGGTGCTCGCGGCGCACGCGCTGCCGCGCAGCCCTCGCTTTGGCGGCCGCGCAGCCCGCCCGCACATCACCACGGGTGAGGTGCCGGCAAAGGGAGAGGGAGGCGGACAGGTACGCTCCGATCGGCGCGCGGAGCTGCGGCGCGCTGCCGAGCTCCTCCCGCAGCGGCTTCAGCCGCCGGTCGAATTCGGCGGTCGTCAGCGAGGCGCGCTGGCCCGCCAGCTCCCTCAGGCGGGCCAGTGCTGCCGTCGGAGCGGCGGTCCCGAGCGCAGACGCCGCTGCGGTGAGGGCGCTCAGTGCTTCGGAGGCGTGTGCGACGTAATCGCGGAGCGGGCGCGAGGGCTCCGGCAGCGGCACGTGCAGCAGCCCGCCGGCTCGGTCGCGCGCGGCGTCGGCGGGCGGATCGGCGAGGGTGTACGGCACGCCGATGGCGTCGGCCATCGGCGGGCTCCACGCCCGCAGCGAGACCCACACTCGCTCCCCCTCGTCGCAGATCTCGAACGAGCGAACGCCCGGTGCGAAGAGGGTCAGCGGCCCCTCCTCTCGGATCTCTGCGCACCAGCGCTCCGCACGCTGCTGTGAGACAGCGAGCATTTCGTCGAGTAGGTGCGGCATCGCGTGGATGGCGTCTGGCGCAGCGACGCCGGGGTCGCTGCCGCGCACCACCTCCAGCACAACAGCGGCGAGGCTTTGCTGCGAGTTGAAGGCGCGCCTATAGGCGTCGCCGTTTGCTGCCTGTCGGCAGCGTTAGGGTGTGTGGGGAGGGGCGGTGTGGGCGAGTAGGTGCGGCGCCGCTTCCAGCGCCCGTCGAGGTCGAGGAGCCAGAAAACGGCGGCACCTGCGAGGGACGGCGGGACAAGACCGCCTCGGTGACACTAGTGCGTTAGTAGTAGAGAGTTGTGCATGTGTGTCGAGCGGCGAGTCACAAGTCTCTTATTGATTTGCGAGTCTAGTTTTGCGTGGGCGGCCGGAGTCACTACACTCACCGGAGAACCACGCGTTGAGCGCGCCGCCCGCCACAAACAGGCTCCCCATCTTTTCGATGCGCTCGAGGTTGTTGTTCCACACATACCACGCGTAGCGATCGCGCTGCTCCGACGTTGGCGCGTGCGGAGCGGTCTGAGCGGTGAGCGCAAACTCGGCGCCGTAGTAGCAAGGGATCATCGATCGCACAAGCTCCACAAGCCACAGGGGCCAGGCCAGCACGCGGAGGCGCGCCCCGCACCAGATGAGAGCGCGCAGAAAGTTGGCCTGCGTGCGGGGCGGAAGGCAGCGGGTTCTAGTAGAGGTGTCCCGTCCGAGACGCGTCGAATTTGTACGCCGGTGCAGGGAGGCCGTGCGCGCGCCTCGGTGCACTCGTCGAAGCGGGGATCACTCTTGACAGCGACAAGCAGCTGGAAGAATCCGGCGCGGGCCAGCATGGCCCGCACGAGCTGCATCGACAGCAGGACAGCGAGGGCGGAGCAGCCGAGCGCGGCCTCCCTGTGCGATGAGCAGAGAACGCGCTTGAGCCACCCAACGCCGCTGACGTCAGCAACGAAGAGCAGTGTCAGGATTGAGCAGAGGCACACCATGACCGTCAGAAGCACAGCGCCGTCCTGGACGCTCTCTGCCAGCCGCCACATCTCCAGCATCTCGCTCGCGTCCGTGGTGACATCGGACGCGTCCCCATGCTTCTCTGCCCGAAGCCGCGCCCGCTGGCTGCGAATCACCTGCGTCAGCGCGGCGTCCTCGCCCTCCCCTGCTGGGATGCCCTCGCACAGCTTCGAAAAATTCTCGCGCAGCGCCCGCTTCCCGTCCTCTGTCAGCGCGACTCCCTCCTCGAAGTCGCCGCCCGCACCCTCCTCATCGTCGTCGTCCTGCTCGCTGTCCGAGCCATCGTCGCTCGTATCGCCCTGCTCGCTTCCCGCCTCAGAGAGCTCGTCGAAGGTGGCGCCGGCAGCAGCAAGCCCGCCCGCAGCGAGGTTGGCCAGGCCCGCCGGCGGCAGCGCCGGCACGGCAGCAGCAGCCTGCGGCAGCGCCGGCGCGGCAGCAGCAGCCGGTTTAGCCGCCGCGCCCGCGCTGTCGCCCGTCGAGAGCGGTGGAGCCGGCAGCTCTGTGCCAACGTCGGCGTGTGCGGCATCGGCCATGGCCGCACCCGGTTGGCTGGCCTCTGTAACCAGCAGCATCACAGGCATCGCCGCCGCCGCCGCGCGGGACGGCATGGCATCCGCGCCTCTCGCCACCTTGAGCGTCGTTTCAGGCTGCTTGGCGGCGGCGGCGGGCGACATACTGACACGGCCGCGCTTTTTTGCAGGCATGACGCAGCCGTTTTGCGACGCAGATCGGCGAGGCCTGTGGAATTTTTGGCGCGCCGTCTTGATCAATGAAAAAAGAAAAGCATGGAATCGTATTCTCTCCCCTCTCACTCGTGTCCCTTAGACTGGGAGACTCATGCCGAAAAGAGAATTTTACAACAAAACTCCTCCCTCGCAAAAAAAATAGGTGCCTCGGTTCGGCCGAATCTGAAAACAAGAAGATTAGTTTTTTTAGTGGGGATCTGGCCAGCGGAGCGCCCAAGGCGAAGCCCCATGGGGGTGGAGCGGCAAGGCCGCTTCCGAGATCTGCTGGCGGCCAACGAGGAGTACTCGGGCCGGGGCCGGGCTTTCATCGACGAAGTGAGGGAGTGGCCAGCGGTGGCGAGAGCAATGACGACGCTGGCTCTCCCCTCGACTCGGGTGTCCAGAGAGGCGGTGCAGGCCGCTCGACAGACGGCAATCGAGGCCGTGCGGGTGAGGGGGACCGAGGACCGAGTGAGGACCCGGGCGATCGACGAGGCAGCGTCCCTACTAGTGAAGCTGATAGGGGTAGAGGCCGAGATCGACCTCCAGCCGCGCCGTCGAGAGGTGATGCAGGCTTGTCCTCTCCGGATCGGCCGAATCTTCAAAAAGAATTTAAACGCAAGAACTCTCTCTCTCAAAGTGCCAAACTGACCAAAAGTCCACCGTTGGGCGTCGAATGCGACGTCGCGCCCGAATCCGGCGTGGCTAGAAACGATCCTCCGGCAGCTGGGGGGCCTGTCCCAAAGTTGAAATCTCGGCTTTACCAATACCTCAACCAGAAGATTAAAAAAGAAAAAACAACCGGTGCGCGACACTAGACCGCGTCTCGAGCTTTGCGTTGGACGCTCTGCGGTGGGACGTGATGACGATCGCCGTGCAAAGAATTTGATGTTGCGCGACTCTCAAGCACCGCGACTCCTCTCATCTGAGGGTTCGATCCGCAGAAGGGGGGCGCAAGCTTCCCGCAATCTGGCAACGGATCCGCGCAGAGCAGACGGAAACGGCTGACAAAGGGCCTCAGACTGGTGGTCAGGGTGCTGTGAAGTCGAGAAAGTCGACGGCAATCATGATGTTCTGCATCGTGGTGGGGGCCTCTGCTCTCCTACAGCAGGCTACGCCAAGCCTCGTGGCATCTGTGGCTACGCCAGCTATCACACAGCGAGCGGCGACGCCGGCGATGGGCCTTCTCGGCCGCGTCGCCGGCCGCCTGCGTCCCAAGCGCAAGCTCAACATTCCCGTCATCGAGGTTGGCTCCGTGCTCCCCGCCGTCGAAGTGGAGGTGGTTCCTCCGAACGCAACGACGGAAGGTGCCTTTCTCAGCTGCATGTTTTGTACACCAAGCTAGCTCATCGCACACCAAGCACCAGACCTTGCGGCTAGGACTCGCCGAGAGCGTCTCGCTCAACATCGCGGAAGCTCTTGGAGAAGGCAAGTCGTTCCTGATCGGCATGCCCGGTGAGCCGATACGACGCTGCCGCTGCCTCTGCCTCTCAGTCGGCCCGCGTCCTCACTCGCCAGCCTGACCGCACGTAGGTGCCTTCACTCCAACGTGCACCGACCTCCACCTCCCTGGGCTGATCCAGTCGGCAAAGACCCTGGGCGAGTACGGCGTCTCCAACATTGCGGTGGTGACCACCAACGACCGCTGGGTCATCAGCGCGTGGCGCGACTCGCTGCGCGACTGCGTCGGATTCGGCGACTCGAGCCTCCCTCCCATCTGCAAGCGGACGGAACCTTCTCTGAACCTTCTCACAACCTTCCCCGTAGGAGAGTCGAGCCTCCCTCCCCTCTGCAGGCGGCCGGTACCTTCTCTGAAGCTTCTCCGAGCCTTCTTCGTAGGAGACTCGAGCCTCACCTACCTCGCGGACGGCGACGGCGACCTGGTCAAGGCGCTCGGACTCGTCGAGGACATGGGCTTCGGCGTCGGGCTGCGCTCGAAGCGGTTCGCGCTGATGGTCGAGGACGGCGTCGTGACGTGCGAAAGCCCGTCTCTGCATGAGAGCGCCCTCTCCCCCCTCCTCTCACCGTCCGCGGACCCTGCCGCAGGCGCGTCGAGGTGGACGAGGGGATGGACGAGCTCCGCACGACCGGCGCCGCCAGCTTGCTCCAGATCGCAAAGCCGCCCGAGGTTGAGGCCGAGGAGGCTTCCGAGATGGACCGGAAGACGGTCCTCGGCGGAGCGGCCGTCGCCCTCCTCACCGCCGTCGCCTTCTTCAGCCCCGGCTCGTCCCTCGGCACCGCCCTGCCCCCTGCTGGAGCCTTGCCGCGACCCTTCCAGGAACCTTCCCCATAGGCTCGTCGCCAGGCACCACTTGGGCCTCGCGCCCGAGGGGCCGCGAGGCGGCGCCTCCTCCGCTCGCTCGCTCGCGCGGCGCGAAGCCGGAGGAGGAGGCGATCGAACCTTCTATGAGCCACCCGAACCTTCTAGGCGACCCGCCCGTGTTGTAGGCTCGAGGCCGGACAAGGAGGCGAGCGAGATGATGGCGAGCAAGGCGGCGGTGCGGGCCAAGCTCGACGCGGCGGCCGAGACGGCGGCGAAGCGCGTGCGGGCGGACGAGCTCTAATTAGCTCTTAATTAGCTCTTAATTAACTCTTAATTAGGCGGCGAAGCGCGTGCGGGCGGACGAGCTCAAGCGGGCGACGGCCTCCTAGGCACAGCGCCGCTCTCCAAAGGGACCGGCGGCCTTCTGTGGCGACATCCCGCTCCCCAGGCGGCGCTCCCGCAGCGGCTGCTTGCGGAGAAGAGGCCGGCGATCCATGGGCATGTCTTGAGCGCTCCCATGCACGAGCGTGCGCTCGCCGTTTATCCGCGGCGGCGCGTGCTCCAAAGCGCCGCAGCACACGGGGAAGTGTGCCCGCAGGAAAGTTCCTTCATGATCGAGTGAGCTGATGAGCGTGTGCGCTAGAGCTTGAGCTCACCTTGCGCCGCCACGCGTGTACATGCTATGTCGGGGCTTGACGCGTGCCCCACCGCGGCAGTCCCGCTGCCGGAGTCGTCTGCAGAAAGATCGTGCGTGAGAGTTCTCTGCCGGTCGTGTGTGCGTGTTGACGATTATTTTGCGAGAGGGGGGTGGGGTTGCGTCGGTGCGCGGTCGAAGGCGGACGAAGCTAGTGTGGCGGCTGGCGCTCCCCGAGACCCCCTGGAGGCTGGAGACCCCCAAGCCCCATTGTAGATAGGCTGGCGTGTACTCTCTTTCCGCACACCACAGTCCACACACCAGTCACCACTGGGGAAGTTTCGAAGAACACATACACCTACATGTGATTGTGGAGACAGAGACGGAGACTCACGGAGCAGACGCTCTCACTCAGTACGGGATGCACTCCGACATGTAGAGCTCGCGCAGCGTCCCTCTCAGCTGCAGCAGCGTGCGGCGCGCGTCGCGGAACGCGGCGGGCTCGAGCTCCTCCAGCACGAGGAGGCTTCTCGACGCGACGCTGAGCAGGGCGGAGAGCGCCTCTCCCTTGGACGCGGGCGGCGGCGGGTCGGTGACGCGCGTGGCGGTGATTGCGTGCGAGATCTCGAGCAGCTGCGCGTTAAAGTCGAGGTCGAGCCGCGGGGCCCACCGCT